CCCCAAAACCCCAAAACCCCAAAACCCCAAAACCCCAACCACTAAATCCAAAATTGAACTAAAAAACCAATTCAAATTAATCTAATCATTTCTCTTAAAATAATGGTCAAACAACTCATATCTCTGATCCTCATTCATCTGTATAACATCACTAACCTTCAACTGTCTAGATCTTCTCCCATATTTTATTGAATCAAACCTACACTATCACCCACTCACTTACCCAATCGGATTATACCTGCTATACCTCTTAAACCTATATCTCTCCAGCATTCCCATCTACACATCACCAAAAATTCCTACTTTCTCACTTCCCCTCTTCCTCACTACCACATTCTTAGTCTTCTCCACAACTTCCTTCATCAACTTCTCAAATATCTTCTGGTCCAAGAAGATGTAACCTGAGTGCTTCTCAGCATACAGGATTTTCTCTTCGAGAAAAGCCTGTACTACAGGCTCTTCTAGGATAGGTAAATCTCTATGAGTTAAGATTTAGGCTTACATTGTTAGTTGGATTTTGATCATTTTGGTCCCTATAAGTGAGATTTGGGGATTTACTGGATTTTAAGATGCGTTTTAGGAAGTGAAGGATGAGGAAGTCAATTTCACCGGAGTCAAGCTCGGGGCCGAGGTTGTGGTTGAGGTAGAGTTTGTTGAGGCGGTTGAGGAATATGTTGCGGATGCGTTTGAATTCGGGGAGCGTGGTGGTGGAGGCGGATAGGAGGTGGGAGAATTTTTGGGAACTGCGAAGAGCGACTTCGGTGAATAGGTGGGTTTGGAAGATTCAGTTGCCGAATGTATTGGTGATTAGTTTTAGTTGATTTTGGCTGTAGATTTTGGAGAGTTTCGGGGAAAGTGCATTAAATCCATATCCTCCAACATGGAGAGTGGGAAATGCCAGATTCCATAAGTTTAATTTGTTATAAATTTGGTATCCAAAATAGTATGAATTTGAACTTTCTAAAATTACAGGGAAATGTCTCCTATATCTACTTCCGTTATAAAGCCTGAGAATTAAAGCATGAAGCCAATCTTCTGCTCTCTGATCCCCAATTTCTAGGAATCTTTCTGCTTTCTCGATAGCAAATACTACATGAGGGTAATTGTCTTGGAGATATGGATCATCTCTGTTCTTTCTCATTGGTCGTACCTTTGCCTTCCATTCTTCCTCACTCATGTTTATTTCATCATAGTAAAGCTCAGTATAGCCTGCATAGTCATTAATTAAATCGAAAAAGAAGTTTAAGGACTCTCTGCCATCCCTATATCCACAATTGTAAAATTGAAGAGGCTTTCTATCGTTTTCTTTTTCTAACATGACAGCATAGAACACTGAAAGTAGAGCCAATTTATCATCACCACCATAATTACTCTTAATAGACTCTACAAGTGTATCTATATTATCCAATATAGGTGTTTCTTTGTAATCTCTGCCCTCATATTTGCCAACTAAATCACTAGCAACATCACTTGCTCCTGCTATTCTTAGTTGTAAAGTATGACAACTGTCTAGAGGATTTTCCTGGCTTTCAAGTCATTCCTTTAAAATTTTATAAAGTTGTTGCTCAATAAGAATGTTCTCATAGAATCTGCTCATAACATTACCAATTCTATCTGCAAGTTCTGAGTAACTTGGAGCTAGTTTACATAACATTTCAATTCATTTATGGTCAAATTCATACAAAAACATCTCAAAACTCATTCCTTGTTGTATCTTCATATGTGCTGCTTGTGGTCTTGCCCCAGATTGCGAAAATTGATGTAATCACTTATTTAGGAGCCAAGATTTGCCGTGCTTGCTTGGTCCACCCAAAAAGAATCAACTGTTCAGATTAATATTCTCAGAGAAAAAGTTTTTAAATGAGTATAAAAATTTCATCAAGGTCTTTTCTTCTTTCAAACTCTGAAACAAAGGCCATTCAAAGGATCTCATTCTTCCTGGGATATTTTTATCAACTTCTTTGAGGATTTCCTGGTCAATTGTTTCTACCCATCTTGGGAAGTATGGCTTCAAAATCCCTCCCATCTAAAGTATGATCTCTAAATATACCCATGAGTCACTCCTTTTAGGATTGATGATATCTCCAATTCTCTTCCTATAATAATTAGCCTGTAACTCGGGGAACCAGTAGGCTTAATAGGACTTACTTGATAGGTCCAAGCTTATTCCGCATTTATGGCTAAAAATAATATTATTTCTAAAGGGGTTTTGGGGTTTTGGGGTTTTGGGGTTTTGGGG